CGCCCTTTCATCCTGTTTGATACGAAATAGTTCTTTCACGTACCTTTCGCGTTTTCGTTTTTATTTAATGGATATAAACTCGTTAAACGCACAGGGTGTTCGGCCACACCTAGGAAAAATTTTAATGGGAGATTCCAGAAGTAAAAATACGACGCAAATCAACAATACCAATTTGTTGATGGAGACTTCGTTAAAAAGTTATTAACGTTTAAAGTTCCACTCGTACTGAATTTTTTTCTCGAAAATGCGCAGGATTTCGGGGGTATGTCTATTCACCAAAAATTATTGTAATTGACCCCCGCGACCGAAAATAATTTTTCCAAAACGATTTGAAATCTTTTTTTTTCCGTCAAAAAATTTCACATCTTCTTGAATTTTTTTCTAGAAAGTGGGTAGGATTTCGGGAGTACGTCTATTCACCGAAATTGATTGTAATTGACCCCCGCGACCGAAAATAATTTTTCCAAAACGATTTGAAATCTTTTTTTTCCGTCAAAAAATTTCACATCTTCTTGAATTTTTTTCTAGAAAGTGGGTAGGATTTCGGGAGTACGTCTATTCACCGAAATTGATTGTAATTGACTCCCGCAACCGAAAATAATTTTTCCAAAACGATTTGAAATCTTTTTTTTTCCGTCAAAAAATTTCACATCTTCTTGAATTTTTTTCTAGAAAGTGGGTAGGATTTCGGGAGTATGTCTATTCACCGAAATTGATTGTAATTGACTCCCGCAACCGAAAATAATTTTTCCAGAACGATTTGAAATTTTTTAATTTAACTGTTAACAACTTTTTAACGAAGCCTCAGTCAAGAAATTGATATTCTTGATTTTCGTTTTGTTTTGGCCTCTAGAATCTCCCATTAAAATTTTTCCCAGGAGTGGCCGAACACCCTGTATAAAATAAAATGTTACAAATATACGAGAGCTCGGTCGTTGTTTCGGCGATTGATCGAATTATTTTTTCAGAAACGAAACAGATTTTTTATTGTTAAGGGCGAGTCGTTGTATTCATATTTATTAATACATGTGTATAATAAGATTACGTGGAGTTCTCGAATACCTTGGTCCAAAACTGATTAACGCGGAGGTTATTAAAAATGTGACCGACATATCGACATATTGTTTTCTTTAATCTAGGGATAGAAGATTCAAAGCCTCAAAAAAATTTTGAGCCCTCCTCCGTGCTATTTTTACGATTCGACACGAGGCGTTCGGTGTGTTAATATATTGCTCGGCCAATGCAATAAGAAAAAGCATTATAGACTTCGTCCTCTATCTATTTACTGTAGAATGGCGCGCGCGGCATCGAAGTAGTTCAGATATACATATACCGTCCGCGGGTCAATATGTGTTTAAGTAAAAGCGTTTCACGACTTATAATAGCTATTCTCAAATTCATATGTTGGACGATCACAACCTTCTATTAGCGAACAATCGATAAAGTGATTGATACTGATCATTTCTCCGTAGCAAAGATTTTATAACGATATTGGTACGCCATCTTGATCACTCTCGATCTCCACGATTACATTTGTTCAAAGCCTGACGCGTGATCTGGTAGTTACTTGGTTACGAGCTATCCTTATTGCCTCGATAAATACTCTGGTAGCAAATCTAAAAAAAATCAATCGATGTTATAAAAAAATATTTACACAATTCTGATTGAACAAAATACTGATAAATGTAAACATGTTATTTTTGTTCGTTCTCGCCTCCCACCAATTTAAAAAATACCGACGTCAATTGAGAATTTGTGGAATTTCGTTCAGTCGCGAAGCAAATACAATTTTTTAATTATACCGAAGGAATATACTACTGATTTTTTATTTGCCCTCTTGACGAGTTTTTCGGGGACGAAGTGCACTTTATTTCCGATATTTTTTATCGGGGAACGAAAAACGAGGCGAACGTGTACACACGCTTCCGCGTCGGGTCTGTAAATATGGCTAATGCGCCAGAAATTTATGGGACTTCGTTATTCAGGTACGTAAACACTCACTTCTGTGTGGAAAAAAAAAAAAATAGAAAATGGAGGCACTGTGCAATGTTTCCGCCCCAGAAACTCCTGTTAAAGAAGATTGTTAAAAATGGCCACTTGAAAGTGAAAAATTCATTCAGAACCCGTAATAATGTCTCCCAAGGTACACGAAAAAAATGTTCTTATCACTCTCTCCAAAGACGGTGAGAAAGTTGTTAACCCCTTGCTGAACAATGGCGGGTCTGAGTCGTTGGAAGTTCCTTATTCCAAGCTTCGCAATCACGACGCTGCACTCGTCGTCGAGTCTCGTATAAGAAAATCAACACATTTTCACATTCGCGAGTTATTCACAAAACTAACCTGTTCTATTATGAGAGACGAAACGAAACGAAATACTAATTTTATTAATTTCTTTTAATCTACTTTTGATACTTGCTCCCGACAATCTTTGGAAACGTAACTACCGTGTTGTACAGAGTTTATTGTAAAAAACATTTAAAATTGTTTAAACGCAGAGAGATGTAACTTCGTTTTCAATATAATGCTATTATTGGATTCCACTTCGATTCGATCTTTTCGGTAATTGATAGGATATGGTAACATTGCAATTCGAAATTCAAAGTTCACACTTCCTTTAATGATACCTTTTCAGTTTCATTTCTTCTACAATGTATAATTATTATAAACATGTAGAGTGTGTCTTTTATTTTATAAAAACTTAATATCTTCGTTATTTTTGCTGATACGAAAATAATACATTTTTATTGTACGAAAAAAAAATTTGAATGATCCATAAGCAAAAGACGAGCAGGGAAGTCAGAATTTATAATTTTGTCTTATAACTTGATATACACAGGGAATTACGTGATAAGTGCATTAATCGTCAAACGGCACAGGAGAACCAGCGAACGGAAATCCAATGAAAATATCGAGAAACGTGAAAGCCGTTTTCATTCAAAGTAACGCGTTCCAACTCCTATTAAAAAATTACTGCACATGCTGTAATTTTAAAAATTCAGAACGCGAGGGTGAAGCGAAAATTCATCGTAGAGTGAGAAACACATAACGTTACTTCCATTGACATTTGGCAGAGAAAAGCAAACTAGCCTTACAGTAGTTTCGTATGATAATAATAGAATGAACGAACACAACACACCATAATGTTTGAAACGAACGTAAATAGTGGAACGACCTTTAACAGTAAATTTATTTTTGGGCTTTCTATAACGTATACAATAACATGAATTACAAATAACAATAAACGAAGCCACTTCAAATTTCAGACTTTGGATCCATCCTCATAACTTCTGACAATATAGCTAGTAATAGACTAACTGGAAGATTTTCTTGCTTACTCGAATTATAATTGCATTTAATTTCCAATAAATTATATTCAATAAATAATTTGATTCTCTGGAACGAAGTTTGATTCCCGATAAAATACAAGTTATTCTTAGAAAAAAGTAAGAATATTGGGTTTCAAGTGTTTTGAATTTCGAAACCCCACAGAGTTTCAGAGTCGAGTTTCGTCTATCTGGAAATCAAGTTTCGACCCATTTCTAATTTCAATTCCTATTGGTACGCCATATGGAAAGAAAGGAAATGAAGAACTTTCACTGCATATGGAAGTTTCTAATTGCCTTCGATCGGACCAAACAGATTTACACTACCACGGAGCATTGCAATCATACTCGAACCCTTATATGCAAGACCCGGGCACAGTGGGGCCTAAATTTCAACAAAGATGGCGTCAAGCATAATCCACTCTACAGGGTGTTCGGCCACCCCTGGGAAAAATTTTAATGGGAGATTTTAGAGGCCAAAATAAGACGAAAATCAAGAACACCAATTTGTTGATGGAGGCTTCGTTAAAAAGTTATTAACGTTTAAAATTCCGCCAGTACCGAATTTTTTTCTCGAAAATGCGCAGGATTTCGGGGTGATGTCTATTCGCCAAAAATGATTGTAATTGATCCCCGCAACCAAAAATAATTTTTCCAAAACGATTTGAAATTTTTCTTTTCCGTCATAAAATTTCACCTTTTCGAATTTTTTTCTAGAAAGTGGGTAGGATTTCGGGGGTATGTCTGTTCACCAAAAATGATTATAATTCACCCTCGCAACCGAAAATAATTTTTCCAGAACAATTTGAAATTTGTTTTTTTTCGCCGAAAAATTTAGGCGCCTAATTAGATTTTCAGTAAAGAATTTTTTTCTCGATAGTGCGTACGATTTCGGGTATATGAGTAATGACCAAAAATGATTGTAATAGGCCCCCGTAGCCGAAAATAATTTTTTTAGAACGATTTCAAAAATTTCTTTTTCACCGAAAAATTTCAACACCTACCCGATTTTTTTTCTCGAAAATGGATAGGAATTCGGAGGTATGTGTATTCACCAAAAATGTTTGTAATTGCCCCCCGTAACTGAAAATAATTTTTCCAGAACGATTTGAAATTTTTGAATTTAATTGTTAATAACTTTTTAACGAAGCTTCGATTAAGAAATTGGTATTCTTGATTTTCGTCGTATTCTGGCCTCTAGAATCTGCCATTAAAATTTTTCCCCGGGGTGGCCGAACACCCTGTATAACCCCGCGTGAATCGAAAATCACGTATCCAATAACATTTTAAGTCTAATATAATCTACTATTACGCTTTCGTCCAACATTATATCGTACGTTTACCTTGTTTTCTTCTGCTGAATGTCAACAAAGGAATATTACACATTAAAAATCAACAACAAATACTTCAAAACTTTGTATAACTACTACTAAATGATCGAAAAGTGAATACAACATTCATTTATTGGATTATCGTTAAGTTTTGTTAACATTGTCCCAACCATCTGACGATCGGATTGCAAGGGACACCGATTGTATTACCGACAACCAACAACTATGTTGCAACAACGCCCTCGTACTAAACGGTTCCGGATTCTGAGCAAGCATTTCTCCGTATATTGTCGAAACATTTCACGACTTCCGTTCGTCATGTACTCGAGAGGATTAGAGGACTCACCTCGAAGACCTCGAGTTCCAGCGTGTCAACCTCGACGCTCATCGTCTATCCTACGCAAACTATAAACCTTCTATAAGGCCAACCTCTTCTTCCTCGTGGCACTCGAGCCGTGCCGACGAGACGATGTCCGCCTCGCCTCTTACATATTTCCACCTGGGTCCCTCCTCTTCTTCGTCCTCGTGAATCATTGCAAGTGCAGGACGGCATTAGCCCGTTATCTTTACCTTCGTTAGGCGACGATGCTTTCGTACGACCGCTTTTTCGCTAATCCCCGAACGACGGCGTCCTTTGATCGGCATTCTCTTTTCAACGACACCATGTATTCACTAACGTTGCCGTTACCACTACACGTGTCTTTACGAGTCGCTTCGTACGGCCGGCAGATCCGCCGGAAGTCCTCCGGTTTCCTCGTAATCGTTGTTCACCGGATCACACCGCGACACCGCGAGCCCGAGTCCTTCCGCGAAAGCGATGAGCGGCAAATTCGTGTACCGCGACGGTGTCGCGTGACAGTATCGAGGCGACGCTCTCAGACCAAAACCTCGATACATTTCAGATCGTCGAAGATGGCACCCAGGGCGCGACTTTCGAAAATCGGGAACGGTTTAGCGCGGCCTTCGATCCGGTTCGAGGTGGGTTTTCTGCAAAGAAATCGTTCCTGTCACGTGACCTGCATGCACACACGAGGATTCGTTTGCTCTTACGTACGAGAGACTCTGGAAATTAGGAAACGTCACGCTCTCGACTTTGACACCAACGTGTTTTTTCTTTTTTTTCGCTTCAAAAACACGTGCATTATTAACACGTCGACGCCGGTGGGCGATTTTATTTGTGTTCGAGTTTAAAATAGACGCCTCGTGATTTTTTCCGACGTCATGGAATAGAAATCCTTGACAAAATTTAGACGAGAGCGATCGCTACTCTTCTTGTATTCGAAACCGTAGCTTAACATACTTAAAGGGGAATTATTGTGTGACGGGTCTAAAAGTAACTGGGGTATTTATGAATTTTTTTTTTAAAGAAAACTAATTGTTAATTTTAACTAATCTTTTACGGTGGCGTAAGGGGACGTGTTCAAATTACAGAAAACAATTTTTGGTGAACTTGTCGAACTTCGTCATGGATTTGGACGGAATCTTTGGAAAGTTTACGTCGAGGAATGCAGTGTCGCCACCTATGAGACCGATCCGAATGGGATCTCTCTCCCGCGCGACTACTAGAACGTTCGCTGTACTCGATCATGTTACATGCCTTTTTCATTTTCTAAAAGTTACACTATGTAGTCTTACCCAAACCATAACAGTTCATTAACATTATAAAGATTGCATTTGAAGAGATACTAGAAATTATTGATGGGTAATTTCAGTTCAAACAGTTAACAGATACGCAGCAAATACAAACACAATCTCTGCGTGTATGCGAAGACGGTGCACGTATGAGGTTACATGTAAATTATATATGTACTTGTTGCATGACTTATGGCGACATCGCCCAGTTACAAAAGATCGATGTTTTTAATTTATTATGAAGCGTGATACATCGTACTAACATTTCCTTTTTCAAAGTAAACCAAATGACTAAAACTAATAATCATCAATGTTATAATAGACGAAGGTCGGTCTTTCAACACCAGAATAGTCTAAACTGATCGCATTCCATGGACCACACTGTATCAAGGACACTATTTTACTTTAGGAGATATACAATGAACAATAAGTTTGCAGATATTACATTTTAAATATAATTAGGAATAAATTTGGAGGTTGTCTATATGATATATTTACTACTTCAAAAGAATATTTCTGGTATTACATGAAAAAGAAAATACAAAAGAACACAAGAGAAATAAACCCAGAAGCTCGCAACACAGAAGTTGGGGAAAAACAGAAAGTTATACATCACATAATGAAAATATAATTTCATTTATACTTTTATATGATGTAATCAAACTCATATTAGCTTCTCGTACGAACAAGATTATCTACTATGCTTATGAATGTTTAACAGTAATGTAATTCAACAGTAATGCCATTTATTTTCACCGTGTTGAATATGATTTCAAATATTTCTTTCTGTACAGTGTACACCCCTGGGAAAAATTTTAATGGAAGATTCTAGAGGCTAAAATAGGATGAAAATCAAAAATACTAAAAAGTTACTAATGCGTTAAGTTCCGCCAGTACTGAATTCTTTTCTCGAAAATGCGCAAGATTTTAGGGGTATGTGTATTCACCAAAAATGATTGTAATTGACCCCCGCAACCGACAATAATTTTTCCAGAACGATTTGAAACTTTTTAATTTTGTCGAAAAATTTCACACCTTTTCGAATTTTTTTCTCGAAAGTGGGTAGGATTTCACGGGTATGTCTATTGACCAAAAATGATTGTAATCTACCCCCACAAACGAAAACAATTTTTCCAGAATGATTCGAAATTTTTTAATTTTGTCTAAAAATTTCACACCTCGAATTTTTTTCTAGAAAGTAGGTAGGATTTCGAAGGTATGTCTAATCACCAAAAATGCTTGTAATTGATCTGTATAACTAAATATAATTTTTTAGTATGATTTGAAATTTTTTAATTTTGTCTAAAAATTTCAGTATCTACTCGAATTTTTTTCTCGAAAGTCGATAGGATATCAGGAGTATGTATATTCGCCAAAAATGATTGTAATTGATCCCTGTAACCAAAAATAATTTTTTCAGAACGATTTGAAATTTTTTAATTTAATTTTTTAATAATTTTTTAATGACGCCTCAGTCAAGAAATTGATATTCTTGATTTTCGTCTTATTTTGGCCTCTAGAATCTCTCATTAAAATTTTTTCCAAGAGTGGCCGAACACCCTGTATAATGCGCATTAACAGGAGCGTCCGAATGTGCTGTTCATTTTCATTCTAGATTCGCAAACAAGCGGGTTTGTTGAGATGAACACCGTAACTGCGACCTTTCTTTCCTACTTAATAACGTCATCGCAAGGTAACCATGAAATTATTTCGAAGGATTTCTACGCGTAGAACTTGTTTGTACTTCTAAGTCTTCTTCGCGTTTCTTGTTTCAAAAGACTCACCAGACTCGTTATGCGATCCCAACATTCTACATGCACATTAAATTCCGTTAAAATTTCTTACGTACCGACGGAGGAAACGCGGTGTAAGTTCTCGCGTTTATCATTGTATTGTGACCTCTTTTGTTTTCTGTCGCCTACTTCTTTGAGACTTTCCAAACACGACGCAGAGTTTAGAGGTTCTCATTCTCATTAAGAATCGACGTTTCTTTTTTATATATATAAAAAAAAAAAATAAATCATCGTTAGAATTTGTATTTCTGGTGATGCCAACGATGCAATTAAAATATTTCTCATCGGTGTTGATAAACCAAATGGCTGAATTAATGCCAAATATCGGATTTAAGGTAGACGCGAAAAGTTCGCGAGTGACACTCACTGTATCTTATCGATGAGTTTTAGCACGGTTATCATCGGTAAAGCTTGAAACGTAAATTATATAACAATTTCATGTACTGGAAAAGTCTCATATTCCTGGGACTCGATCGAACCGGTAAATAAGACGCGCTATTGATTCTTCGTACAAAGACCGCAACAATAAATTCAGTTCTCTTTTTGCAGCAATAGAAAATATCGAAGATAAAAAAGTTCGAAACCTCAGAATCGTAATAGAAAAAGGGGTCGCGGAGAGGAAATCCAAGCTTTTCCATTGTTGCCGGACTCCGCGAGTCACATTTTCAGATAAATTTCACACGTAGATCGCTAAAGTAAATTGCAAAGAACTTTATCATAAATTCCGGTTGTATCATAACAGAAAATAATCTCATGCGTGTACGTTGAAAAAGTATCACAAAATCTTTCAAAACGTTTGATTAAAAAAAAAAAACAGAGTGTGTTAATAACATGCACGTTTTATTATATACGCCGCGTCCTTTCATAAATTAAAAGTAGCGAAGTGTTTCGCACGGTATTAATAATAAAAGCAGCCTTTTAAAAATGCTTGCTAGCCTGTCTGCGTAGTTGTCCGCGAAAGGAAAAAAGAAGCATGCGGGTAGTTCAGCCACCCTAGTATACGCGCGAATAGAAGGAAAAAGGCCAGAATAAAAAGTTTCTGAACCGATCAGTCTGCTCTAGCGAGGAAACTACTCTCCGTCGTTGTGTGCGCGCGTGCGCGTGTATATGTGTGAACACGTCTTCTTTGCGGAGTACGCATTATGTGCTTCCGTCTCAACGAAAATATGAGACATCCGGCATCGAAAGAGAATCCCATGGGGCAATAGGTTCCGTTCCGAGAAATGGCATGACGTAAAATCACGTTATGAAATCGTATTAATTGATCCGGTTCGAAAGTTTCGAAAGACATCATCGGCGGTTCTCGCGAGCGCACGCACGATTTGTCGTTCGACGAAGTCCGTATCGTACAAAAATAGTTTCGTTACGTTCGCAGAGCGGATTTCTACCGTTATTGCCGCAAAACGAATCTCCAACGACTAACGTCAATACGATTCCCCCGGTTGAGAGCCGCTGCCTTACGTAAGAGCCATTATCGTGGCTCGCGTCTTAGGAGATCGGCCGGCAGCGGCGGCGGTCTTGCTCTTCTCCGACATGGATTCCCTGGAAATCTCTCGGTCCGGTATAGATCGACACCAAGATAGACCCGTTAATATTTTGAGGCGGTACACACCGCGGGTATTTTTGTTCGTAGAGTCCCAAAGCGGCTTGGACAAACGCTGACATCATTCGTGCATGTGGAATCAAGGACGTACGAAGAAAACATAGTTACGAAGGATTCGCGGTCGCATGCTACGCGCCATAATTTCATCATAGAGGGCACTGCCGGGCTGGATATCCCTATTCTTTCGGCCGTTGCCGATCTTAACCACTCATATTTCGTTACTTATTATTTAGCGTATCGCCTCTTATGCCAACCTGAATGATTTTGCAATCGAGACCGCGAGGTGAATGGTCCCAGTGATTGGACGATTAAGAAAAGGATTCCATTGTCGAAGCATTCACTGTAGCGACAGAACTGAACATAATATACAGCTGTGCTCGTTTGAATTGGATAATTATTAAGTATACAGGGTGTTCGGCCACCCTTGGGAAAAATTTTAATGGAAGATTCTGGAGGCCAAAATAAGACGAAAATCAAGAATACCAATTTCTTGACAGAGGCTTCGTTAAAAAGTTATTAAAAAATTAAATTAGAAAATTTCAAATCACTCTGAAAAAATTATTTTCGGTTGCGGAGAATCAATTACAATCACTTTTGGCGAATACGCATACCCCTGCAATCCTATCCACTTTCGAGAAAAAAATTCGAGTAGGTACTGAAATTTTTAGACGAAATTAAAAAATTTTAAATCATACTAAAAAAATTATATTTAGTTACAGGGGTCGATTACAAGCTTTTTCTAGAAAGAAATCCAGTACGAGCGGAACTTTGAACGTTAATAAACTTTTTAACGAAGCCTCCATCAAGAAATTAATATTCTTGATTTTCGTTTTATCCTCGCCTCTAGAATTTCCCATTAAAATTTTTTTCAGGTATGGCCGATCACCCTGTATACAAGATATTGAACACTGAAAGTTTAGTAAATTGAGAGCGCGTCGTAATTAATGAATTTCATGATCGACAGGGTCCTCTTTTACAATTTACAATCTATTCTACAACACCATTATTGCAGTTTGTTTGATTCATACGTGCTTATTAAAATAATGTATTTCATTATACACTATTTATTAGTTATATTTGATATCTAAAAAATACGTAAGCAGTTTTAGAGAATCTAGAAAGAATGCCGTACCATTAGACAAAAGATTAAAATCCAAGGACTTTGTTCTTTTGCTTCGATTTATCAAGTTTATGTTAGGTAAACCTTTCTTTTCATTTTAATTTTACTCGATAACAATGTATTGAAACTAGCAGCTCCATTGCTGTGACTTCTGCCTGTTAATTAAAAAAGTTTCGCCAATTACACGCAATATTTATTTAAGCTGTATAACTGTTAAAACGTGGTGAGGAATGCAGTGTCGCCACCTATGAGACCGATTCGAATGGGACTTCCCCGCGCGACGATTAGAACGTTTGCTGTACTCGATCATGTTACATGCCTTTTTCATTTTCTAAAAGTTACACTACACGTAGTCTTAAAATATTATTAAAGTAATAATGAGTCTATAAATACATTCGTGTTAATAGTGGTCTTACCCAAACCATAACAAAATGTGTAATTAATAAGACTCGTAAAACCAGCATAAAAGAAAACTATTAAACGTAAATTTTTAATCGTTCCTATAGCCAATTGTTCCGATTTGTCTCTTACTATCACTCGTATTCGTATCCTTGGAACGTTTGTCATTCTTTTATAACTATAGCGTGTAGTATAATGCTCGGCGCTACGTTGTGCTAGTTTATTTATTATCGTGCATCTACATACTCGTTTATACAGGGTGTTCGGCCACCCCTGGGAAAAATTTTAATGGGAGATTCTAGAGGCCAAAATAAAACGAAAATCAAGAATACCAATTTGTTGATTGAGGCTTTGTTAAAAAATTAAAACGTTTCAAGTTCCGCCTGTATTGAATTTTTTTTTCGAAAATGGACAACATTTCGGGGGTATGTTTGTTCACCAAAAATGATTGTAATTGAACCCCGCAACCGAAAATAATTTTTCCAGAACGATTTGAAATTTTTTTTTTCGTTGAAAAAAGGCACCTAATTAGATTTTCGGTAAGGAATTTTTTTCTCGAAAGTGCGTAGGATTTCGAGGGTATGTGTAATGACCAAAAATGATTGTAATTGACCCCCACAACCAAAAATAATTTTTCCACACGATTTAAAATTTTTTTTTCTGTCGAAAAATTTCAGTACTTACTCGATTTTTTTCCTCGAAAATGGATACGATTTCAGAGATATGTCTATTCACCAAAAATTATTATAATTGACCCCTGCAACCGAAAATAATTTTTCCAGAACGATTTGAAATAATTGAATTTAATTGTTAATAACTTTTTAACGAAGCCTCCATCAACAAATTGGTATTCTTGATTTTCATTTTATTTTGACCTCTAGAACGCGCCATTAAAATTTTTCCCAGAGGTGGCCGAACACCCTGTATATACCGACACACAAGAGAAATAATTATTTTTCGTAACGTATGTGACGTTCTACTCTGGCATTTACAAACTGGTGAATAATGAATAAATATTTTTTTCGGTGGAAAAATTGTTCGAAATAGTATTTAAAATATTTTCTCTGTAAATTTTACCCCAGCTCTATGTAAATTTCTCGAGGGTAATCGCTTCGTAATGATTCAATTTCTTGAAATCCACGAAGGGAAATCAATTAGAGAAAATGATTCTCAGTGATTTAGAAGCACTAGATTAAAATAAAATTAGATTAGAAATTTTATATGAAATACTAAGATTGTGTGATTCGTTCATCGATAAAGATTTTAATTCCAACTGCGACGCGTCAATAATAAATTTTGTTCAATAGTTCAGGCATATTATACTTTTATCATTCTTTGTGGTCGATGGACACCGTGCGAGGATGTAAGGAATTTTCTTTAGAATTCGGTAGGCATCGAAAAGAGGCAAGCCATGACATCATTTTATCAGTTAGCAAAATTGTTGCACGTATTTACTGTTTGCAGAGATTGTCTATATCGCGGTAGATAACCTAATGTCCTTATACATACTGTACCCATTATCATCGAGTCGACACGTTATAAACAACCAAGAGAAAATTACGAATATTACTCAGCGTTGGTCGACGACTGTCACATTAATACTGTAATGAAGTTTTTTTTACGACTAAATTTGCATTTGCTTGGGAAGTTACTAAATGGGCGACGTCTCTGGCGTCGAAGGTGCTTAAGTAATCCTGAACGTTCGTTACACCCATTTCATTTCCCTCCTATTACACTGCCGATAAAATGCTAATGCAAATGGAAAACTAACCTCGTTCGAGAAGAATTTAATAACGTGCGACTGACCGCGTTTCATTAAACGTCAATACACAACGAAAGCGTAAAGGTTCCGAATATTATTTACTGTACGTGTTGCTTGTTATATCGACGCGTACGTTGTAACAAACGATCGTATACTGAAAAAGTACGTTCACTGTCAACAAGCTTGGGATCATAACAGGTAGGCAACGCACGATGCACTTTGATGTCTGCAGAGCAATGTGTCGTGGGACATGTGTTCGTACGTGTCTGTAGTTATCAGACGTCTCGTATCATTAATCGTTACGACCGATTACCGGCATCGCCTCCGACAACGAAATGTCATCGATATATAACGTTTGATCGTATCGATTGTTCGTTGTTTCGCTGATTCCGCGACGGGGCAAAAACGTTAGCGCTTAAAAACACGCGAGAAGAACCGTTTCCTAATTTCCACCTTCGACCGTTTCGCGTACGCACGATCAGCTCTACGGCAGCGTACGACCTTCGTTTTCTTTCTAAAGAGAATCAGGTTACCTCGTTGTTTTCGCAGTCAGAAGCAAGGGTACAGGCGGTCGAAGCGCCCGCGTCGACGAGGGCGACGTCGTTATAACGATCGTCGTTGACGAGAGAACATATCGAGGCCGTAAACGCGAATTTTACGACAGCGGTCGCTTCGTCGATGCACGTAAAAACGTTCGAAACGCTTCGATGACGATCGATCGTCCGACGAGGATGCTGCAGAATTTCCTTCGAGACACGGTGAACGGACCAGACGAACGAAAATCCAACCAGAGAGCACCCGTGCAATGTCGTCGATGACAGGAACGGGATATAGAACTAGAGACACTGTCCCACCGCCCGAGTCCTTTTACGATTTCCACGGGAAACTAGTCAGCCGGTTCGCGTTGGGCGGGCACCGTCTATCGTTTCCACGATCGTGAAACATCGACACCGGCATTCTATGTTTCCTGGCACTGTCAGCACTGCCGTCACCGTAACCATTCTCTCCGGACACCTCTGACCGCGAATCGCCGTGTTTTCGTCCACGGATTACTGACCCACGGGAAAAACGAGAGCGAAAATTCACGCGTGGCGCACCGTATATATCACGTTCTCACGCACTGCACGAGGGTGCCGTTGCACGACGGCGTGCTTTACACATCGAACAGTACGACGAAAACTCGAGTCGTCGAACGAGGTATTGCTCGATGGATCGTCGAGAGACTTCGAGGCGTCGTCCCTTGACGGCGCCACGAGTCGTCACGCCGGTGGTGCCGCGAAATTTCCTGGTATCAACCACCGTCCGCTATCGGGAAACCTCCATCGTTTGGGGGTAAAGAGGGTTGCTACGTTAGCGATTGCCAGGAACGAGCGAACCTTGAAAATCAAAGCACCGTTAGGGGTTAAAACGGTATGTCGGAAATTCGCGGCACAATATTGCGTTTTATCGCGACACGCGATTCAGATATGGAATTCGCTTCGTAGAGGGAGTTTACGACTACCGTTTTGGTATTTGCGTTCAACGTTTCGTCCACGCGACCAAACGATGAACATTACGTTCGCAGTGACGAACGAAAGTAACGACGCTGTCAAGTTTGTCGACAAATTATACGCAGATTGATATGAAATAAGAAAATATAGTTTCTGGTGGGGTCGAGGAAACTTTTGATGAAAAATCATCGATCGATCTAACCTTAAAATTACATTGAACTTTCGCAAGCGAGAAAAACATTATTCCGGCTGTAGTAGATTGTTTCTGTGGCAACGAATATGTAATAAATACTTTTCGAAGTATCGTCTGTAGAGTTTGAATGAGATAAAAGGAAGAAATGTTAGTTGTAAATGTACCTAAAAGAACTCTTCAGAAGTAGGAACACATCCGAAAGTCGAATGCAGTATATGTAGACATGTATCTTCTAATAGAGGGGTGATTAACTTCTACATAACAGTTCCTACTACCAGTCAACCGATTTTCTCACCACTAGACAGACAGGTTGCACACTGTAATCATACTTAGGTGTTAAAGCATCCTACGTCTCAGCTTTTTACAGTATGCATAGAGGGGGAAGTTAGGGAATAGGGGAAAGTAGGGTTAGGAGCCTCTCCTATCGTAATAGATCGAAGAACATTTAAAAGTGTTGTTTATAAAATATAATAAAAATTTCAATCACATGGGTCGATTGTAGCGTGGTGAAGATTCGATACTGACTTGTTTCCAAAGAACGTTCGTTCCACAATTAAACATGGCGTCGTAGAAACTATCTGAAAATGGCGTCGTAGGACCTATCTCGAAACGGTAATTTACGTACATTTTACTGTTTCTTTTTATTACACGGTCGTTTAACAGTCGTTACGGTATATTTAAATCGCATACTATAAACTATATTTTTCTAAAAAGTATCAAACACACGAATTTTAAATTTTCGACAAACTGTTCGCCGTGCTGAAAACTTTGTTCGTCACTGCACGTCGAGGCAAATGAATTCGAATGAGAATCATCGATCGAAATGTTCAGAGGAGATTTTCGTGAATGAGTCGCATCGGCGTATATGTTAGCAATTAATTAAAACAACGGACACTCACCTTGCATAGGACGCGTGGCAGCGCTGCGAGACATTGTTCGCTTAGTCTGTTAGGCTGCGTAGCTCTGAGTTTAGGCGCTTTTGGACGGAGTTTGTAGATATGTTTCACGGGGAAGTGGACGCCTCTTAAAAGTACATTCCCGGCGCCGCGACGCTGGTCGACGGCCGGCGTCGTAGAAAATACATCAAACGTACGGCACGGCGGCCGTGGTGTAAAAACGAGGGTAAAAAATGGTCCGTTCCTGCCCGACGGAATCTCGTCCTCGAGGACGACACTTCCGTTCTGACGGTGGTCTTCGACGTTGGACGCCAGGAACGATTGCTTTTCGACGCGGATGATAACGCCGGCGTTCCGGCCACCGTGGCAACGATTGGCTTCGCGAGAAATCGAGGCACGTAAAGGATGACGACGATGCGTAGCCGGTCGTTCCCGTCGTACGACGAGCATCAAGCGACGGATGCCTCGATATTCGACGGTAACGTTGACGAGGGTGCGTGGAACAATACGGCGTCCCTGCGTTCAGGTCGGATATTCTGCGGCTAAATAATGGTGACAGGATATCCGGTGTGGGGGGTACGGGGGGTCCTTTGGGGGTGGCGTCCATGTGGGGTGGATGGTCACCTCCTTTCTTTCCTCTCTCCTACGACCCACCTCCTCCTCCAGGACCTCCTCGTCAGGGTGCCCCAGCTTTTGGTGTCCGAGAACACCTCTCCTGCTCGTCGCCAACTCTCACCTACTCCCTCCCACGCTGAACTTGCCGAGCACACGCTGCAAAAGAAAAACGTGACATTGGTGAGCGGATCGGGACGCGTTTCGAATACGTTTAAAATTGAAATTGATACTGTTGGGAGTGAAGATTTGTTCTGCAATAGACAGGGTGTGTTCGGCCACCCCTGGGGAAAATTTTAATGAACGATTCTAGAGGCTAAAATAAGACGAAAATCAAGAACACCAATTTGTTGATCGAGGCCTCGTTAAAAAGTTATTAACGTTTAAAGTTCCGCCTATGGAACGGTAATCTGCGGAACAGCTGCGTGCATGCGATGGTGTTTCACACCACAGACGAGGTGTATGAGTAGATCTTACATCTTATGGACTTTCGTGGTCCGAGTTGACTGCCATACCGACCGGAAAAAAATATTCAAATAGTCCTATAAAAATTATTTTTAGCTATGGGGGTCAATTACAATCATTTTTGGTGATTAGATATACCCCTGAAATCCTACGCAGTTTCGAGAAAAAAATTCAGGAACGTGCGATCTTTCGACGAAAAAAAAAATTTCAAATCGTTCTGGAAAAATTATTTTCGGTTGCGGGGCTCGATTACAATCATTTTTGGTGAATAGACGTAACCCCGAATTCCTGCGCACTTTCGAGAAAAAAATTCGAGTATGTGGACTTTGTCGACAAACTTAAAAAATTTCAAATCGTTTAAAAAAAATTATTTTTAGTCGCGAGGGTCGATTACAATCATTTTTGGTGAATACACATACCTCCGAAATCCTACGCACTTTCGAGAAAAAAATTCGTAAATGCCTAAATTTTTTAAAGGAAAAAAAATATTTCAAATCTAACTGGAAAAATTATTTTCGTTAGCGGGGGTTAATTACAATTATTTATGGTGAATAGATATACCCCCGAAATCCTACGCAGTTTCTTGAAAAAAATTCTTTACCGAAAATATACTGTGTGGCCAGAAATGTTTTTTCCGAAATTTCAAGCGTATGTTTGGACGACTTGAAGGATGTTAATGTTTCAAAATGATAACAATGCGTACGAATGGGACTCTAGAGCCCCAGAAAAGAGCTCGTACACCTCGTCTATGGTTCTCACTCATACAACTGTAAGACTGCAATGCTAGGATAACTGTAGTCGTTTCTACTACTATGAGAGGAGACTCTCCTTGACACACCCACGAAGCTCAACGACGAGCGGACCGTGTAGTGTAACCCGATCTCGGCTCGAATATAGTTGAAACAATGCATAGACAGTGCATAATGCAAAGATGAAACTTTTTTATTTTTGCTTTTTTTTTAATGCAACTTTTACCAATGTACTTGCGAGAGTTTCCCGACTAAAATGAGACCAAACACGATATAATTTGTTTTTAACCTACTTCTGATAGAGTACAAGATCGTGTTAAATATGATTAAATACGTACTCATTAAATACGCAAATGTGATCCAAGTTATATCGTGTTTGGTCTTATTTTAACCAGAAATACCTCAATAATACATTAATAAAGCTCCCATTAACAAAAAATAAATAAGTTTCACACTGTGTTAATCTTATTTATCCCTCACGCTGAAAATTAACCATATTCTCATAACTGCGATACTTCGATATCGTGTTTCTCGTAATTATTCAAGATTTGCTGTATCACCAAACATTCGAATCTCTTTCTCTTTTATCCGCTACCCTTTTCTACGTTCGAACCAATTCCACTACACGAAACTGTTAACATTCTCGTGTTACAAATTTTAGCTAGACCACGGAAGGGCGAATATTTACATTTGCAATCAATATTTCACGCGATAAAACAAAATCGTGGTTTGCGATCAGTTAACGTTGTCATAGTTGTAATTCGTTGAAACTAAACCGTTCCCGCGAAAACTGCGCGGTGCGATTATCGTGTTTTCTTTGATATCAAATTGTGACATTGAGAACGTTTGAGTAAATCGATCTAAAAATGGTACTCCATTACCGCGGGGACGTTTGGTTGAACACGTTCGTCGTAGAACAGTTCTTCCGCAACGTTACATGTCTGTTAAAATGCAACCAGAGACATACCCTCGCCGATACATAATTTATTCAACGTATGATTATTGTATGAATTAATATAAGTTCTACCGGTTCGTACAACAATTTTAATGTACTTTACAGCTCCGATCCACTGAATTATTGGACGAATTGATTGCACTTTTATTGAACGAAAAACGCATAATATTTTCAACAACTACCGGGTGTGCTTGACCATACGGAACATGAAATCCAACATTTAAGAGAAAGCACGAAGGACAACGATAACGTAACTATACCCAGTTAATCTATAAGAACAAACAAACTGAGCCGGTCGTGAATCGAAAGATAGTCTTATTACGTATGCTCGTATCATTGATTCGAAAACTTTTCAAAGCCCTCTGACGTGTCCAAGTATGTACAGAAATTTTCTTTCCGCCTAAGTTTATTAATGACATAACGGATGTTTATGCAATAATTACACTCGTGTAAATGTCCGTCTGAAAATAAAAAAACAACCTTAACGTCGTTGCGAAGGTTCAAAATTCTACAATAATATAGTTTAGATATCTTTTATTTTAAATTTAAATTATTTACCATTTTTACCATTAAGGCGTTAAAGAAGGGAATGAAAATTTTGAAATGAAACCGTCTATGTTGTGGGGAAACGTGAAACAAAATAAACCCCTGTCGGTGAGTTACCATTTTAATCTCTAATGTTATCGACTTTTAACTGACTTTCCTTTCGAGTCTCCGACGCGTGCCACGAAAGGCTGATAAAATCTGTTTCGCGGAACAGCGTTTCAGAAATTACGGTCGCCAGCAGAAGCGGTGGACAGTTTGAATACCGGTTCAGGTAACATTACAGCTTTACATTGTCACGAGGACTCGGTGGATCGCA